AATAATCTGAGACCAAAATTATTTAATAAGGAAGCACTTCTGGGTTTCCCTTACCAACAACAACAACAACAAAAGTACCAACATGCCTTCCACAGCATACAGATACTAAGGTTATATTTTATGTATTATTGATTATGTTTTTTTTTTCATGTGTGGAAATTCAGAACTGGTGGTAGGAGGCAAACCCCAAAATATATTATGTTAGCCCAAACTCTGAAGTTAGTGATATAATGCACATTCACTAAAATAAAACCAGGGCCAGAGCACACGACTAATAATACTCCAATGGGGAAACTGGAATCTGAATAATGTGAATTAATGACTGGCAATTTTCTTTGTAGTTTGCATAAAGAAACCAGCAAAATAAAACAGTGAAGAAAAACAATTCTAAACAACGTTGAGCAGTAACCCCAGTCTGGCTTTGTAGACCAAAGCATTACAACGAGGAATATTCCTGCAGAGAATGTAGGCTAGTAGGTCACCCAAACAGTACGTGATGGGAATAGCAAAATAGACAAGGATAAAAACTTTATGTGAAACAGACGAAAGGCCAGAGCCCTCAAGGGACTATGTCCAAGTATTAGAGCTAGCTCATTGTCCTCTTTGAAAGGAGAATGTGAAGGTCCTCTCTCCTCCAAACCAACCAATTTAGGTCTGTCCAACTTAAACAGACACATCGGTGCAGACCTCCAGACAAGCCCGTCTTAGGAACAGTAAAACACGCCGCTCTTTGGAAATGAAAGGAAAAACCCAAAGGGGCCTCAACAACAAAAAGGACAATCAAATACATAAGTCAACCAATCGGAAACCTGGAGAATGAAAAGAAAACCCCAATGTAGGAAAAGCAAGTATCAAAGTGGAGCACAATCCCCCCCCCAAATCAAAGAGAAAAACTAACCAGCTGAGTTAGGAGTCGAGGGTGAGTTAGCTTGGCTTCCATGGTCCTCCTCCTCTGCCCCCCCTCATAAATACATAAATAAAATCTCTTACAAAAAGGAAGACGTAAAAAACTTTTTGAATTAGAAACATGATATATCCGTGGGTTAATTAAAGCATTTAAAACAAAGATAATTTCCAGATACTTTACTGTTATATAAGATGTGCCTATTGGCTACTAAATAAATACACTTTTTAAATTCAATGGCATCTTGTCTTCTCCTACCTGATTTATTCATCAGTCAACATGTTCTGAGCAACTAATACAGGCATTTAGGAAACAGGAAATATACGAGAGTGGAAGACATGAAGACCAACTAAGTTCTGTCTGTTCATATACCTGTAATGTAAGAGAAGCGTATGTGTGATAAAGCAGAGAGAAGCAGAGAAGAAGGGCTTAGGAGGATAACCCAGGCAGCAAGGAAGAACTGGCTGTGGGAGCGAAAGTACGATTTTGAGAGTGGGGAGGCATGGGGAAGGTGGCATAGGAATGAAAGACATTTACAGAGATATCTGGCAGCCAGGCGCAAATGTAAGGGGGAAGTGCGCAATCAGGTAGGGGCGAACTGACCATGTTGTCCAGCACCCAGATTTTACCTGGATGTCAGGAGGGTGAGGTAGAAGGGCAGATAGGTTGGGACCAGGGTGTGAGAGACTCTGAGTGTCAGAGCTGGCATTTGAGCTTGCTTAGGTAGGCAACAGACAGGTGCTGGTGATTTCTAGGCAAGGAATGGCCGAATTCAGAGGGTGTGTGCAGAAGAAAGGAGACACTGAAGTCAGTAACGGTAATGAGAAAATGATCACAATGGCCAAGCCAATGAACTATTCTAGAACTAGGACAGTGGCAGTGAGAAAGGAAAGAGAATGAATGTGAGAGCTGAGTGATCTAAGTCTGTCTGATTGACAGGGGAGTGAAATAACCTCCCTCCATTACTCAGAGCCACTCTAACCTTGTTAAGTACTGCCCATTGTCATCCGAGAGCACAACGGACTTACGGATGTATAATTGAACGCTTGCCGCTGCTACGCAAGAGGGTGTTTAAGACTTGTACAACTCTACATCCTTGTCGAAAGCGTATCTTTCCATCAGAAGAGAAAAAAGTGACAACCGTGTCCTAACCAATACTCACTAGGAACTGTCTACTGTGAAAACTGCTCACACACGAGGAGAAAAAAGGTCAAATTAGAAAGTTACTGCTTATAACATTTCATACTGCATTCATGTGGAACGATTTCTGCTTTGCCAAGCCCTTTCCTACCTATTTTCTCATTTTCCCTAAAGCAGCCCTTGAGGGATTAAGCCTGGGAATTACAGGCCCCATTTTACAGAAGAGAGGTATAGTGCCTACCCACAGACACACGAGAGTGACCAGGACTGGAGTCTCCCAGCTCTTCCCAACCTTCCATGAGTTCACCACGTGGGCTCGGTGAAAGGCAAGTAAGGGGTCTGAACTTTATGGGATTAAAAATAGACACTGGTTGGATAAGATATGGGTGCTATGAAAACCCAGTCAGGAGAGCAGATAATGGCTGCCCAGAAAATGGCCCCTACCACGTGAAACACAATCCAGAGTTCAGCTGGGAATTCCATTGCTGCCTTGGGTTTAGGAATTGTTTATTTTTATTTCTTGGCTCGAACCTTTCACTCCTGCCCTTGTCTCCTCTTGTCTCCCTCCTTCCCTCTCTCTTTCTTCTCTTGGCAGCCAGAGCCAGGTGCGTCCACGTTGAACATCACTGTCTAAAATCACAGCTCGCTCTAACAAGTTTGGTCTCCTGCAGGTGGCACGATTTAAAAATTTAAAATGGACACCCAAGGAACTTATCATATCACCATCAGCCTTTGAATCATTTACCCTGCTTACTAAAGACCCAGGAATCAAATAAACACCGTTCCCAGGGGAAAAAAAAAAATGAACACACAATGAGAGAGTCTTTCGAGTGGCATTTTCAAGCCCAGTTTCTGTGGTAAGATTATGTAATCAGACATAATTGTCTGCACATGTTTGGTTACACTCTTTCAGAAATGATTCCCAGCCCACCCGACAGTGTCAGAGGGGTCAGTGTTGACCCCCCAGAGTCTGAGTGCCACCCTCTCCTCCACTACCCAATAAGGAAGCAGAACCGTAAGCCCATTTCCCACCCACTCGCATAGACTTTCTGTGGCTCCTGGTCTTATCCCCACACTCTGGTATTTTCCTCATGTTCTTGTCTTCCACTCATACAGAGCAAAGCTTTTTCTGGAAAAATCTTTTGAGATAAAAGATGTATCTCAAAAAGACTCAGAAAATGCATAAATGCTTATGTGCTTGAAACCACCTCCCCCCCACCACACACACACACACACAGACAAGCACAGAGCAACCTCATTTTTGTCTGTTTTTGAGAACATACTTCTCTACTACAGTATCTTATAAGATTTTTCTAAGCAGGTTTCCAGCAAGTCAGCCATTAACATGGTAATTATAATTAGCATAAGCACAAGAAGAGAAGAATGCCTCTGCTCTGGAAATCCTATCTGGAAAAGTGACAGGATTGCCTAGACTACATTCAACAGGGTCCACTTTGACCTCCTCCATCTCCTGCTAGAAAGAGACTTGATAAATACCATACAAATTCAGAGGGGATTCTGCCTCAAGGAGGTAGAAAATAAAGAGCTTCTAAGTGGCAGGGGCCTTAAAAAGTCACCAAGACACTTCTGACCTGGTACTTGAGTCTCCTCTCCGACATCCTGACTGAGTAGCTAGCTATGCCGCCATGTTTGAATGCCCTGATGGATGGGGAGTTCTCAACTTCCAGAGGCAGCCAATCCCTTCTCTGGACAACTCTCACTAGAAGAAAGGCCCATCAAAGGTCCAAGTGAGATGTGTTTCTCTGAATCTTCTACTGGCTCCTATCCTTGGCCCATTTAGCTCACTCATGACAAATCCAATCTTTCTCACAAATAACATGTCTAAAACTACTATATACCACCCACGTCTTCTCATTTATGGGCTAAGAATTCCCAACTCTTCCAACCATTCCTTGTGATGAACCTGCTGGTGTTCTGTTGATTCTTTCTAGTCTCACCTTAGTTGTGTCTGAGTTGACCAATGCAGGGCTGAAGGAGACATCACCTCCCCCAGTGCAGACACCACAGCTCAGTTAGTATAGACCAGGATGACATTTGACACATTAGGCCTACCGTTCCTTCAACCCACTCCCAATTCCTTTGAATCGTAACACCAGAAACAAACAACAAAAAAAGCATCGCCACCAGTCAACCACAGTTTTCTTCCATAGTTCTGAGCCAACGGTTCTACTGGAACCTCCTGCAACCTCTAAAAGCCCAGGAAATGACCCCTGATCTAAAGGACAGCCTCCTTTTCCAGGCAGCCTCTTGTCCTCGCTTGCTGTCACCGCTGCTGAGATAGCGGACGATTGATCTGAGAAATCAAGTTGGATTGCTGTCCCAAATCTACATTCGGTTCTCCTTGTGTCTGTCTGATCGATTTCACTCTGTGCGACACAGCTTGTCGCTATGAATTTTCATGCTAGTCAGAAGCCGCCAGCGCGCCCAAGAACGAGGAGAAGATGGTCTGCGCCCCTCCCCATCCCTTCCTCATCCCCAGCCTCTGTGTTAATTTCTTTCTTGTTTTTGTCCTTAGACAGACTGGAGAAAGGTGCTTTTTCAGACCACAGACCTGGATGCAGTGGCTTTTGGGCTACTGGTTTTCCTGCCCAGGGTCCCCAGGCCCCAGCTTGTGGTGACATTTCCGACCACCGTTGTGCTAGGTGTCACCTGTTCAGCGGCTCCTCTCAGCTGAACGCGAGTGGCCGCAGGTGCCATGAGAACACTGATCGGGTGTGACAGCCCTCGACGCCAGCTGCCTGCATGAAGCCTGCCCGGTCGCCACTTTTTGTGCGGGGAGAACGCTGCCGACGGCGTGGCCGATACAGACACGAGAAACTAGGTGACCGTAAAGCTAAGAGAAGTCCTACTAAGTGGCATTCCGAGCCCTATGGCTTTGAAATAATTGGTTATGATAGAATAAAAACAAAGGGTGGGGGGGGCCTTGTTTTCTTACACTGATGCCCTGCGGACTGTACATCTGACTGGCTGCGAGTCCGTCACTGTATCCTCCTGTCTGGCTGATAACATGGCGAAGGGTATCCACCTAAACGGACGAACAACAACAGAGAGGAGATTAGTCAGGGAGATGCAGGAGAAGGGAGGCAGAGCAGCATCGCGCGCGGGCGGCCGTGTGGGCGTGCCAAATTTACACAATCCTGGCCGAGGTATCCTTCCCCAGAGGGGTCCGGTAGGAGGAGGCCGGCCTCTCTATCTGCCAAATCTGTTCTCCTTTCTGAGTTCGGTCAGCAAGATGGAAACGAGGTCCAAGGCACCTGGGATTCCCACCACGGAGACTAACCCCCAGCGCTGCAGGAGACGGTAGGGGATGGGGGATGGAGTGAAGGACCCCCCCCGCCCATAGGGACCACCCTACTTCGCTTCTCCTCCACTGGTCGTCTACAGAAGTCCAGGCTCTGTCTGCAGGGGGCCTGGGCAGCCACCTCCCAGAGAGAGCGGTATGTGACTGACACTGTCCTTGCGAGGACCCAGGTGATGGCCAGCTGTAAGGTCACTCGACCAGTCTGACCACGGCTCTTCACACTTGTCCCTAGGCTGTGTTTCCTGAATCACTGGCCAGGTGGTCTCTTCCAGGCGTGAGGTGCTTCCTGTTCCGCGGGCAGGGTGTGAGACTGGGCTAACGGGGCTCAGAACTTCCCTAGCCATTCTGACCCAGAGCATTCGACTTGACCCTCTCCTGCAGGCTCTGTGCTGAGACAGTAGGGTGGCTTCCTGGGATGTAGTGAAGACAGGCTGTTCGCTAATGGGCACCGAGGGTTTACACCACATGACCGGATTTTTGCTTCCCAACGTGGGCCCCAACTCATGACCAGAAACCCAAGTCCCATGACCTCAAGGATGATTGAGAAGATGAGTTTAGTCAACCTGCTCGGGTGTTTGTAGAGCTTGAAATGAAAACAGAAGATACAAAGGTATTTGCCTACTCATTAGTCACCTCCTTATCTGGCTAATATGGAGTGTGGGAAACCCGCAAGCAAGAGGGGGGCCTGCAACGGGAGACAGTGGACTGAACTCCTCCTCCCTTTCCCTTCAGCGAAGAAAGAATCCACTGCTTCCACGTGCCTGGCGGGCCTCGGTCACTTCACCCTGAGCTCGCTCCTCTCCTGCTTTCCCATTGTGGCTGACAAGTCAGAGCCAAATGCATTCACAAAGTGTGGACGAGACTTCCCATGACCATGGTTGTCTTTGGTTTGGTTTGGTTGTTGGCAAGACTTTATTTCTACATTTTCCCTCTCTCTCTCTCCCCCTTTCTCTCTTCCTCGCTCTATCTCCCTCTCTCACCCTCTCTCTCACTCTCTCCTCTCTCTCTGAACAGAACTGGCAAGTGCCAAGACGACCGAGGGCTCTTGGACTCCAATGCATTCAGCTGGTGGCACATTGGCTGGGTCCCTACCTGTGACTGCACGTTGGCTCCAACCTGGGCCCCTTGGTAAGAGTCCCCATTGAGTGACTGCACGCCCATGAACAAATCTCCAGAGTTTGACATGTTAAAAGAACTGGAAGAACCTGGAAAGGAAAGAGTGAGGCACCTGAATCACAGAAAGGAAAAGGCTCAACCCCTGCAACTAACAGCCAAGAGGAAGAATGACATGCAAAGCAACCCCTCCCAAATAAACACTAAAATAAAAATAACATCCACAGAGTCTGGTTAGTAGCATGAAGAACAGAGCAAGCAATAAAGGGTGCGTATCGTTCATGTTACGTGAAGCCACGTCTTACTGCGAGTTGCCAATAGGACTGTGTCCCCTTAACAACTTCAAGCTGAGACAGGGAATATTTATTCGCATGTATTCTTCTTAATTTAGTCTATTTGAATTGGAAATGGTCTCCAGGACCTCTCTTTCATGCCCATAAAATTCTAGGGGTTGCCAGGGGAGCACAAGCTGAAGGATACGGACTAGTCAACGGATGGTACTTCTGCCACCAAGATGGTGTGCACAAGCTATTCGGCTGGTTACCAGATATGCTGTTGCCAACCCATCTGCCCTCACATGGGAAGCAGCCCTGGTGAGGGAGGGTGGGGAGTGAAGATAATGCCAAACATTAGGGCTGGCCATGGGATGGGAGTCCACTGACATTTCTGATCTCTAGAAAGGAGGTCAAGCTTCTGGCTGGGTAGCAAGCAGCCCAAGAGAGCCTCAAGGACTACAAGAAGATGTGAGGATGGTGACGTCTTCCCTTGGCACCTGCTATTATGGAGGAACGTGAAACAGAATAATGGGCTGGGAATTCCGAAGCATGCATGAAATAGGAAATGCTAATAATAACACTTAAGATAATAATAAAAGTGGGCCTCAAGAGGAGCAGTCAACCATCTGCTTTCACCTCCCAGAGAAGAAGCCTTCTCCCACACAGTTAGCCTTTAGGCAGCACCCAGGTGGCACTATGGTAAACCTGGCCCACCCTCGGCCTCAACACGTGGGTGTGGAAAAGCTTCTTATTATTCTGAAGTCATCGTGCAGCTCAGCGCATTAGGAAAGAAAGCTCAACGTGCAAGGTTTGGTTAAAACATGACGTTAGCCTAGAAAAGGAGAGACCTTAGGGACCCAGGTCAGTTCCACTCTATTTCCAACTCTGTCCTGCTCGAATCGCACTCTTGTCCTCACATTTGACAGCCATCATCCACTTGGGATCACCCAGCAATGATGCCCCAGCTCTGACGCTTTCTTAATTTCCCAAGGTAGGGAATTGCGCTCTCCTAGAGGGCTGTCTCCTGGAGCTCAAGAGAAAGCTTTTCCTGTACTCCGTCACTCTGCTCTATGCTGAACTGCTCATAGGATCCTCATACGTCTAAGGAGGGCGCCATTTTGAAAAAACCAAATGGTTCACTTGGGGGAAGGATCCTCAAGGTAGGAAACTTCTCTGTTTTTCTTTGTTTTGGGGATGTTCATCCCCACACAAGCACTAGCTAGCTCTTGAGCTACATAAGCTGATTCCCTACTCGCTCTTGTTGTGGGAAGAAGGGAACGCTTTTTCTGGGGGGCAGGAGGGCGACTCAAGTGCCATCTGGAGGACTATGACGTCTCCATAGCTCTGGAACATGTCTTGTCTCATTGGGCATGCATTTCTCAATTTAGCTTATCTGCACAGAAGTAGACAACCGGGGTCCTGAGCCAAAGAGGCACAAGGTCTGACCAGGCAGGGTAGCCTGTTCTGGAAGTTTCTTCCAGTAATGTGGTGCCAATCTCCCCAACAGGTGGCTGAAGCAGGGTATGGCACAGATCACATAATTCCCTGGCCTGCATGTCCTACCTATATCCTTCTCAAACTTTGTTTCCATCAGAGCTACAACCTAAATAATAAGAGCCATTTTGCCATCATTTACCACACACGCTCATATTTAGATGGCATCAGAACCAGGAGTAGTCAGCTCCAGGACCCCAAATTATAATTGCTTATATAATATCATAATTTTTTGCCCTCCTCCCTCCCACAAGAGTGTTCAGTTTGATGCCCAGATACATTCTTTCTTTCTCTCCCAATCAAATACCATGTACTAAACCCACGCTCCTTATGCCTGGCTGATGGTTTATTGGAAATAAGCACCCAGCCCAAGAAATGGGAGAGACCCCCAAAGGGCAGTGCTGGCGCCAAGGAACATGGCGTCCATGGAACCACAAAGGTAGGGGATGTGCCATTTACAAGATACATGCTGCAACAGACACAGATGATTTAAAAAATATATGTGCATAGATAAATTATAAATATGTCTGGCTACCTAATGTACATAGAGATAAATAAATATGAACATATCAATGGCTTTCACGTACAGATGCACTTGACTCAGAGTAATTGCAGGAATCACTCCCTTGCTCTCGCCTCTGTCTGCTCTTCTGGCATTTTGTTGTCCCTGTGTAGCCATGTACTACACAACCACATCTTCCAACTTTCTGAGAAGTATCTAGAAGCGGGGCTGGCTCTGAGAAGAGGCCAGGGGCCATGCACACCACAAGAGAGCAGACAGAAGCCCACACAAAACTCGAAATGAGGAGGAGAAGACATGTTCTTCATCGGGCACTGGAAGGGAGAAAGAAACAGCACAGAATGGACAACTTCCTGAGAAGGAAGTATCCTTGACAGAGAGTGAACGGGCTGTCTTGGAGGTGCCACAAAGTCTCAAAGAACTCCCACGGAATGACCTGGCTTGTGGAGAAGGTCCTTCAAGAACCTCAGGGGCAGGTGGCTGGAAAGTAATCCGCAATTACCAGAAGGCACATTTTAAGATGTGCTTGCCAGTTAAAAGGTTCTGAGTTTGGAGTGGGAAGGGAGGCACGTGTCCCATGTAAGCTGTCACCCAGACATTGGGGGCATGTACAGAGCGGAGCCCACCCTCCACTAGACAGACAGGACATAATGGATCACCCATGGATTCTAATGCCTGGGTGCCGGCAAGTATGATGACGGGGAGATGAGTTAACATCCATTTCCCTAAGATCATTTTCCGAAGACTGCATTTCTACTCTAAAGAGTCTTCAGGAGACTTCAATTTGTTCAGAGGGGGGAAAAAATAGAACAATTCACTGCATCCTCTCCCCAAAAACCCAGAATACTAATGACAAAATCTAAACTTAGAGCAAGGTTTCCGGACACTGGCAGTATTAGCATCTGGGGCTGGAAATGGGCTCATGGTGGAGGAATGTTCTATGTGCCGTAGGATGACGGTCTTCCATCTCCCTAGCCTCTAGTCACCAGAAGCCAGCAGTACCCGCCTCCCAAAACCCTGACAGCCAAATATCTCTAAGCACGACCGAATGTCCCCTGAGGTACAAGTTTGCCCTGTTGAGAACCAATGATGCAGAATAAGAGAGGCGTTACTTTTTCTTACTGAGGAACTCGAAGAGTTTACAAGTATTGGCGTGTTATTCCTCAGAGCGTTTTTATGAAGCAGATGTATGGCAAATACGGCTTCCTGTTGCAGTTTTGAAATCAAGGCTCCCAAGAGATCAGGGGGCAGCCGGTCAGACTAGACTTTCTACACCACTTGGAGGCTCAAAAGATGGGGCCTCTTTGCTAGACACGACTTCATTATGTCTCGGGCTTGCTTCTCTATTTTCCATGATTATTCCCCTTCTAAACTCCAAAAATCACTGTTGCTTTCCACCCAGGACAAGGCACAAGAGAGAAGGGCTGTCTGGTTTGATGGGAAACCCCTTCAGAAGGTACACGTGGCAAGATTCTAGCGTTCCAATTCCGGCAGGCTGTGTTTTCATTTTCTACCAAGAAATTAAGAGAAGAAAGAACACAGCAGAAAACATCCATGGCATTCATTCTTTCATTTGGTTTAAAAAAAAAAAAAAATTCCAAGAGTTCCTACAGATTTACTAAGTGTCAGCCAGCCTCCCTAGGTTTGTTACCTCCTTCCTAACGGTGTGTATTACATACATAAACTTCTCTTAGGGAGCCAGAATCTAGGAGGTTTAATATGACATCTTCCCCCAATCCAGAAAACACCAAACCTTCTATTAGGGGTGTAACAGATATGTACAAGGGCTTGCCACTAACTATATAGTGTCAGAGGAAGAACTTTCATGGCTGAGCCTGCCGTCCTTGAAAACACACACACACACACACACACACACACACACAGCCAGCAAAAAAAGATTCCAGATGGGGGAGGGAGTCCTGAGCCTCAATAAGCCTGGGATTGCTTTGCTAATCACAGAATCTAATCAATTGTCAACGCTGATGCTATTTGCCACAGCAAACATCTGCAAGGCACAAGCCAACTTCTTCCTTCCTGGATGCTGATAACCTGACCTTCCAAAAAGGGGCCCCATTTTTCTGAGATCTTATTCCTGCTTTTCTTATCTCATCAAAAATAGACATGAGAATGGATCCCTCTAGGTAATTCCGGAAGTATGGACCCAAGGTTATGATGATTGCTTCAGATGGTCCCCATTTTTGCTTTTTTTTTTCTTCCCCCAGAAAACGTAATTTTCTTCTCTTCCTTCTATTCTTTCTCTTTGTTCCAGGCATTCTGCTCGACTCTGCTGATGTCAAATATGAAGCATGCAGGGTGCCTCTCTACCTGCTTGCTCGTCCCCCATGGGTCCTTACCCCAAGTGATTTTAATGAATTATGCTTGAGGAAATAGGAGATCAGGCATCTATCCACAATCAGGAATATTCAGAAATGACCTAAATAAAGCCACTGAAGAAGTGCTTGTCCACACAAAAGCCTCTGGAGGGAAGAAGATTTACTTGCCAAGTATCCTTTTTGCAATGGAAATGAGTAATGTAAATTTAGTAAAGCTTCGGGTTGGGGGAGGGCCCTGCTTCAATATTAAGGATATAAAAAGTTGTCGGTTTCCAGAACTCTTAAATTTCAAACTCAGCCAAATTATATCTTCACATATTAACCTCTTATTTAAAACTTATGTCTATTTCAATGACTCTCTATCTTTCGGCGTTATCTAGGAGCTAGTATGTGACGTCCTAAGCACCCTGTGTGAAAAGTCTGAACACTTTAAAATTCTCACTTTATTTCTGCAGTGCTCTGGGCTGTGATAGCAGCAAAGGAAAATACAGAAAAGCCCATGTATAACTTTTCCTGTAAAAAAGTTGATGAATGAAACTCCCACGCTATTGCACACATACAATAGTATTTTCTTTTGTCTCTACTGAAAAAAAAAAAAGCACTACAAAGGGGTTCCTCTGCATATTATTTCCAACAACTTAAGCACAACTGGAAGGCTTAGCTCCAATTTTCCATAATAATTTACTTGGTGCTTAGAATAGTCACCTAAGCTTAAGCTAGCAGAAAAATTCTTTAGAAAACTGTAATCATTGACTGACATTCCAAGAGAGCCAACGTAATTCTTAAACAGAGTGGGGGTGGGGTTAAAATGCTTACTTTTCTCTTTTTAAGATCTTTAGAAAAGAATAAAAAGTTACAGCTTTAGTAATGAAGGGGGTCCACAGGGTCCTTCTAGGGACTAGTCATAAATCACGCTCAACCATCTGCAATGCAGATCTATCCGCGACGGGGAAAAAGTCATTTTGATATCTGTTTTGCATTATGATAACCTTTGCAGGAGTGGTGAGTGTGTTTTTGCTAATGCTGACAGGACTGTACTTCTACCAGAGACAAGTGAACATGTCTGGATAGCAGGATGATTCAATGAGTGTTGCTGGCCGGAGACTGAAATGTTTAAGAGTTGACCAGATGGGGAAGAAGGAAACTCTTTGGTTACTGAACCTCTTAGCCTTGATCCTTTGTCAATCATGCCATGAAGGGGAAAGAAGGAAATAGACACACACAAACCTCGAAAAGTAAAAAGGCTCTTCAGAGTTATTCAACTTGGTGTGCTGGGAAAAATACATAACTAGATCGAATTCTACACTGTCTTACCACATCCATGCTTACAAAGCCCAGGCCACTCTTTGTGCATGATTCCATTTGAACAAAAGGAGGCATGGAGATACAGCCCACTGGCTTGGAGAAACTTAGAACAAATTAGGGCCTCTAGAAGCTCACAGAAGACGTTAGTGTGTGGAGCGTTATAGATCTCCAGTAACAATCCACCATAAGGTAGAGAGAGAATTTATTTTAGCGAACAAACAAGCGTCAGGGGTCAAAGGCACTTCCCAGAAATGTTAGAAATTAGATTTTTAATCATCTTATAGTCAAACACATTTAAATTTGTGACCCTTCAAGTTGGAGGCATTGGTCTTCTTAGATGTGTGTCCCACCCCCAAAATCAGTGCAGTGGTTCATTATAATGAATAATGTGAGAATAATCTGAGACCAAAATTATTTAATAAGGAAGCACTTCTGGGTTTCCCTTACCAACAACAACAACAACAAAAGTACCAACATGCCTTCCACAGCATACAGATACTAAGGTTATATTTTATGTATTATTGATTATGTTTTTTTTTTCATGTGTGGAAATTCAGAACTGGTGGTAGGAGGCAAACCCCAAAATATATTATGTTAGCCCAAACTCTGAAGTTAGTGATATAATGCACATTCACTAAAATAAAACCAGGGCCAGAGCACACGACTAATAATACTCCAATGGGGAAACTGGAATCTGAATAATGTGAATTAATGACTGGCAATTTTCTTTGTAGTTTGCATAAAGAAACCAGCAAAATAAAACAGTGAAGAAAAACAATTCTAAACAACGTTGAGCAGTAACCCCAGTCTGGCTTTGTAGACCAAAGCATTACAACGAGGAATATTCCTGCAGAGAATGTAGGCTAGTAGGTCACCCAAACAGTACGTGATGGGAATAGCAAAATAGACAAGGATAAAAACTTTATGTGAAACAGACGAAAGGCCAGAGCCCTCAAGGGACTATGTCCAAGTATTAGAGCTAGCTCATTGTCCTCTTTGAAAGGAGAATGTGAAGGTCCTCTCTCCTCCAAACCAACCAATTTAGGTCTGTCCAACTTAAACAGACACATCGGTGCAGACCTCCAGACAAGCCCGTCTTAGGAACAGTAAAACACGCCGCTCTTTGGAAATGAAAGGAAAAACCCAAAGGGGCCTCAACAACAAAAAGGACAATCAAATACATAAGTCAACCAATCGGAAACCTGGAGAATGAAAAGAAAACCCCAATGTAGGAAAAGCAAGTATCAAAGTGGAGCACAATCCCCCCCCAAATCAAAGAGAAAAACTAACCAGCTGAGTTAGGAGTCGAGGGTGAGTTAGCTTGGCTTCCATGGGCTGACACATTGGTAGCAGTGACAGCCGTTTTGGCGGCATAAATATTGGCTTCCTCTTGAAATTTACCTATGTTCTTCTTGTACCGGATTCGTTTATTTCCAAACCAGTTTGACACCTAGAGCAGTGTAAGAGAAGAGGAGAATGTTAACATTCCGTCCCGTGCAAACATCTCAGAGGAAAATTAAGGCATCAGGGGAGGGCTGGAGGCAGGCTACTGGGGCTGATCCTACTCTGATTTTGCAACAACAATGAGATCTAAAGGAAGGGCACCGAGAGGGGCCATTGCGTGTAATGCAATTCTCCTGCTTAAGACGACACCATTTAGCAAAAACAAGTCCGCGCACCGTCCTACGGAAGAGCTGCTCATTTGGATTTGGACAATTTTAGTTTAGGACGACCATTTTAAAGTGGGTTACCTCCTAAGAACATGACCCGAAAATAAACACAGCGTTTCAGGAGAAATGTTCCTTATCGATGCTAAACACTGACTTTTGAGTAACCAAGAGGCACAGACTTGTAATCATCCATACAGGTCTGTATCAACATACAGGTGCTCTCACTGAGGGATTAATTTCACATTTTTACAAGCTGAAGAACGCTAACATGGACCACATTCTTAGCCACAGGTACTACAGACCTTAGGATCCAGATAATTCCATCAGATAGATTTCACCAAGAATTTTGTGCAAAGCTTGGGGTTAGCTACACAAACTGAAGCATAGCAGAGATTAGTCCTTGGAATCCCAAGCTTTAAATGTTAAAGCCAACACACAAAATAAACCTAATTAACTTTCTTTCTTTTTTTTTTTTAATATTTCATTTATTTATTTGACAGAGATCACAAGTAGGCAGAGAAGCAGGCAGGGAGAGAGGAGGAAGCAGGCTCCCCGCTCAGCAGAGACCCCGATGTGGGGCTCGATCCCAGGTTCCTGGGATCATGATCTGAGCCGAAGGCAGAGGCTTTAGCCCACTGAGCCACCCAGGCGCCCCCCTAATTTACTTTCATTTGTTAATTTATTTCCTTCATGTGACTCACAGGAGCTATCCTGGCTTGATTCCGCATCCCCATTCCCTTTATACCAAGACCCCTGGTCAGACACAAGAGGCGACTTAGCGAAATTCAAGTGTTACCCCTGTCATTACTGCCTTATGAGGTACGTTCTATACCCCAAGTTCCAGATGTGATTTCAAACTAAAATGTGTGTGGTTTTTTTTTTTGAATAAAATTACAAAACAAACTATGAATCTGGTGACAGAAGAGGAAGTTGATAACACAGGTACCACTGCTGACATGTACGTTCTATTAACCCAAACAATGGCGGATAAAGGACATTTTTGCAAAACTGTAGTTACCTTTGAAACGCATTAGCAAAACTTAAAAATCTCACAAGGTAAGCCCTCCTTTGCCTGTGTGGCTTCTGCTACGGGAGAAAAGTTAAGCCTCTGTTATCAAAACCAAACCATACCACTGCAGTATTAGTAAACGAGAGGAAAAAAATTCAGTGACAAATTGCTTGATTCATTGTCAATGCTGGTGCCTACGGGAGAGGAAGGGCACTCTGGGGCCATTTTAGGACCATAGCATATCTAATTCCATTCCCAAACTCATGCTTTCCTTAGTATAACCTTCACTATCTGTATGAGGGAGAGGAAAAGAGGCAGCAAGACTTTTCTAAGGTAACTGGGTGCATTGGAAAAAAGGGGGAAAGATGAAGGTCATCTGGGAGGACTTTTGAGGAAGGAAAAAAATGCCTGAGGTCTAGTTAAATAAGCTACGTGAAAAGAGGAGAAGGAATGTTTTGTGGGCGTGATTCCCTTCTCAACAAGAAGAACCAATGGGTGGACAAGATGTGTAGTCAGCTCAGGCATTCCCTACATGGCCCACAAGGTGATACTGGGACGCCCTGAACCATGTACGTAATCAGTGCTTTCAATAGTTAACTTGCTGTTCACAGTCATGGAGGGTCTACTGTGTGCTAGGCACTAGGGACACACACAGGACAGACACAGTCTGAGACAGGTGATACAGAAAAAATAATCGGTTCTCTGTGGAGAGTCTGATCACGTTTCAAACACGTTAAGTTTGAAGAGCTTGGGCAGAGCCATGGCAAAGTCCAGTGGGAAGGAAGACATACGAGCTTGGTGTCCTAGAAGTCTCATCTGAGTATTCAAATAAAGGTACACCTGCAGCAATAAGCAGAGAAGAGATCACTCAGAGCGAGTGTGCAGGATAGTCCTTTTCCAAATTGAGTGTGCATGGAGAGATTGTTCACACAGATTCCCCCCATCCTCCCTTAATTCTGACTCAGGACCGGGGTCAGACCTAAGAATTTACATTTTGAGCCAGCTCCCAGCAACTGCTAAGGTTGCCTTCTGTAGACCACACTCCAAGCAGAACGAGTACAGAGTGGAAGGACTACCGAGGGATCAGAGGAGAGGCTGGTCTACAGATGGATTTTGGGGTATCTGCACATTTTTGTTTTGTACCATGGGAGGAATCGACAGTAAGTAGATTTTGAAAGAACCTGTAGTACAAAAAAAAATGGTTAAGAACCATGGGGATAGGCCTGAAGAAATGAGGGCTAAAGAAAAAAAATGGTATTTCTAGGGTAGGTAGAGACAGTAGATCCTCTAAGACCAAGCAAAAGTGGCCCAAGAGAAAGAAGGAAACTCCACAGAGAACAGTATCAAGGAAGCCAAAGTAGGAGAATTTCAAGATGGAGGGATAATTTTTTTTTTTAAGATCATTTATTTTGAAAGAGAGAGAGAGAGAGAGAGCGCGCGTGTGAGTGCGCATGGGGGGAGGGGCAAAGGGAGAGACTCTTTTGTGCTGATTCCCCACTGAATGTGGAGCCTGACATGGGGCTTGATCTCATGATAATGAGATCATGACCTGAGCCGAAACCAAGAGTTAGATATTTAACTGACTGAACCACCTAGATGCCCCAAGATCAGGGGGAGGGGTAATTATTAACCCCCCAAAATGACAACAACAACAAAAGCCCAAAAAATAAGAAGGAAAGAGACAGCCCCAAAATGGCAAAATTTAAAAAGTCCAAAATCGGGATCCCGTAGATTTGGGAACTTAAGGGAGATTTAATAAATCATATGGTCCAACAAACCATGACTGGCAGATGGGATGACTAAGACCCGACAAGAGGGAGTTCCCTAAAATCTCACAGTTGACTCTTGACAAAAACATGCTCCTAGAAAAACACTCTTATTATTGTATCACATCAAACTGTCTTGTCTCCCATGGGGATTTGTCTGGCAAGAGTGGAACAGCTCCATTGTTGTTGGGAGGGAGTAATGTACTGGGGAAGGAAGAACGGTGTGGCCTTAGGGTGAGTGAAGCAAAGGGAAAGGTGATACAGTATGTAAATATTCATTTTAATGGACAAATTATGTGCACCTGGGTTTCCCTAACAAAGGAAGTGACAGTTGCTGGAACAGGCCAGGATTCCTTCTTTGATCTAGATATAATATAGACTAGCTCCAGAAGAGTTCATTCTATCATCAACAGGGATTTAGAATTCCAAATCCCAGAATTAGAAGTCAGACAGTCTAGTGATTTAATTCTACTACAGAAGCAGAAGATTCCACATATCAAATTTACTGATGGTCGGTTAGTGATATGGTTCCTGCCCACAGCCATTCCTCAAACATGCAACAAATATCAGAAACCAGCAAATGCCTTTCCTTGTGGACAAGGGATCTAAAGTTGGACAAGAATGGGTAGAGACCCAGACAAAACCAGGTGACCTGAGTTTGACCACTCATGTTCTGTTTTCCTACAGTTAAGACTGGAACAACCTTCACTTGGGTCAAAGTACCTGAGGAAGGTCGGAGTTGCAAGGGTTAGTGTTTCCAAGGCTTCTACCAAATCCCTCACAGCTTGTTGGGCAGGCCCTGGAGAGCCCTTCATTGCACATACTCTGTGTAGAGGTCTGTATTCTGAATGGACCTAACTGGGCTTAGTTAAGCACCGACTGATGGGATCAGCACCCAGTAGGGAGTAAGAGAAGCCAGGATTCAAGTCAAGGAAGCACAAATACTCAGTTGATACAAAACAGCATCGAGTTTGCTTGCAAAATGCTAAGTGAAGTTTCTCACTAGAGTAGGCTTCTTTCCCCCCTTCTCCCACCCCTGTTATGGAAATGCCAGTATACAGAGTTCTTTTGCAGGAGACGTGTATCGGTGGGACTTCCTCTTCTCTGACAGCTTTCAGAACTATCATTACTGTTCTCAACTAGAGACTAGGGACGGTATTTGAGGTTCAGATGAAAAAAGTTCTGGATGGATCCCTTGAGTAGACGAAATATACATACGTGTAAATATTGCCTACTTTTCTACTTCATGCTAATGCTGAAGACTCCAGGTCAATAAAAATGTTTTACCATGTACCTTTCCATGTCAACAGGCACCTGTTATGGTTATCACTCTTTGGGGAAAAGGGGCACTCAGTGACATTTTGCGCAACCGTTCCAATGCAATCATAGTGACACGTTAAAATCCCCACACTCTGTCAGTTTCAGAGCGAGCACGTCAAGAGGAGACATTTGAGTCCCTTTCATTGAAAAGTTCCACTCACTGACTCTGTCCTGGGTTGAGCGCAAGATGGGCTAAGGGACGGACTATGTTTGAGAAAACAGTATGAGAAATGCGGATACTTTCCAAGGACAGCCAAGAACCTTGACCCATTTTTGAAGCAATGGGGCATTCAATGGGAAGAACCCTATCCCTGTTTGGCTACCGGAATCTACTTCTCCCACTCTGGCTGGTCCCTCTCAAGTTTGTCCAGGTACTTACTAGAAACTCTCCCACTTAAACACATCGAGTGCTTACCTTGACATGTTAGGGTTTTAGCAAATGGACCTTGCAAGGCATAAGAGCTCAGTAAAGCAAAACCTCCAAGACGCTGCCATGTGGCTCCACCAGACCCAGGCTAGCAGGTCTCTGGAGGGCTCCTTACCTGGGACACTGTGATGCCACACTTCTTGGCTAACTCCTCTTTGGCTTCCTCACTGGGGTAAGGGTTGCTGAGATGGGAATAGAAATATTCATTCAGGATTTCCGTCGCTTGCTTGTTGAAATTCCGTCTCTTCCGCCTTCATAAGGAGAAAGAAAAGAATGACAAAAAACATTCACACCTAATAGATATATAAAGGGAGAGACGAGGACCTACTTCTGTGAAAAGGCAAATTTTTGAGCAAAAAAGTGGATTAGAGGAAATTTGCACCAAGGGGGTGGATGTCAAAGCCATTACTGCAAGTATCTGTTAAGGACAGACTGTGCATCGTGGGGCACTGACCAGAACAGTCACTAATACTTGTCCCGGGTGGAGAGGAACATGGAGTTTCAAAACTCAGCCACCTTGGTGTTGAATCCTTGGAGAGGGATGCCTCTCCAAGCCCCAGCTTCTTCAGCCGAGAGTGGACAGTCACGCTGGTCTAGCAGAGTGATGGTAACTGGAAAATGAGGCCATACGTAGAGGGTACTCTGCGCGGTGCCCGGTACGTGGCGAATGCTGGGTGACAGTCTCTCTTTCTACCAGGCTCCAGGCTTCGGACCTCACCCTTTAGAGCAATCAATTCAAATTATTCATTTTGTACAACTTGTGAGAGAGCTACGGTTCTTCCCATTTCCCAATGAAGAATGGAGTCCAAAGGTCATTCAGCCTGCGTGTCATAGAACCAAGGTATGAGTTCCGGTGCGCCTAACTACAAAACTCAACCTCGCTCTTAGGTACAAATGACCTCCTGGAAATTACAGACTCTGGAGCCTTGAGTTAAAAATAAGTTATTATTTTCCTTTTATTCCATTCCCAGGTAAATGCATGCAGCATTTTCTAAAGGCATCTGGGGAAGAGGGTGTGCAAGGCACGGACACTGGCCCACTGGACTGCGCGACCTCCCTCAGAAGGAGACAAGGAGCACTTTTCAAGCTAGAACAGCTGCTAAATGGTAAAACAAAAGCCCACCGAAATCTCTTTAATACACAGGTTGCTGAAAGGAAGAGAACCACGTTTTGAATAAAAGCATTTTTTTTTTTTAAAGTGCTAATTGAACTAATTTAAAGTGAGAATCACTTGACTGCCTCCTCACAGCTAAGGCCCGTAGGCAGGTTGGGGGAGCTATTTGGGGATGCCAGGCTCACAGCAGAGGCTGGCTGGACCTCCTTGAGGCGGGAGACTGGATCTTTAAATCAGCTCTTTTAGCACTTTGCCCTTCTTGCTTTTATCAAAAGCTTTTTCCTTATGGAAGAGATTTCCAGAACATCCTTGGTTATGCCAGGACACAGGATTTCCCGATGTAGCCCAACAGAAAACACGGAGCAGCCTTGCTAGACAAGAAATTCAGCTAATATTGTATTTTCAGGGTCCCACTTGGATTAATTAACACAATAAAGTGCCTGATTTTACCGGATGAACACCATCTGTCCATAGGTATTAACCACATCTGTCCAGACTATGCCAAGCCCAAGTCACTTTTCCAAATCATGCTGAGTTTCTGGGTCACCCAGCATCAGAAATTGGATGGAATAGATTAAAAAAAAAAAAAAAAAGCCCAACTCAAAAAATAGGCATTTGTTAAAAGTCCATGCCTGGTGGGAATTTGGGGAAGATAGCCAAGTGGCTAACGTGGGCTCCAGACTTTAGATAACCTCTGGCTTCTTCCCTGCCTAAATAAAACAGTTGTCTTGGGCCTGGGGAACTGGACCCTGAAGGCTCCCTTAATTGGGAGAACCTTGGTTCATTCATTCAGCTGTCTGCATTAGCATCCCACTGTATTTCTTGGGAGTCTTCCAACTGAGCTCAAAGGAAGCCTCTCTGGAACGAGCTGGTGATATGGGGCTGGGGCAGACACGCTGGTCCCGACTCTCTTCTCACAGTGATGTGCAACCTTCCCTAGGTGGTCTCATTCACTCTGATGGGCTTCCTTATCACCACTCTCAGTGGCTGTCTCCATGGATGGCCTTGGAAATCCCAAGATCAGGACTTTTCAGACTTCAGAAAACCTAGTGCAGATGAATCACTTCTGATGGGAAGGTTCTTTGAGCTAGACACCTGGCTTTGGCTGGAAGTGGGATCAGCTTGGTGAGTTAACATTTGTGACTCTGAGCCCATCAAAAGCCGTGGGAGTTGGGTATCTGGGTTTTTAATGTAAAGAATGTGGAGGTGGAGCGGATGGATAAATACGTACTGGATAAATGCGGCATTTTAGGAATGAAACCTTTTGAATCAAGGTGAGTCAAGAGTGGGCGGAGCAGGCATCACAGGCACAGTTGCTAAATACCAGATGTGTTACCCCCTTCCCTGTCCACTCTCCTAAGAGTTGCTGCCCGTCTCCCACTGCACTCCCCAGGCACTTCAAACACACCCCGTGTCTCCAAAACTGGCATCGCGTTTCACCCAGACCAGCTCTATTGTCTTCCTTCCCTGCGTTACCACAGACACGGTTCCATGTATGTAATTTGTTCATTCATTCATTCCAACATGTGAGGACCTAGCAGGTGCCAGAACCCAGGGGTGGTTCTCATCCCTTCCTGCTGTCTTACCTTCATCAGATGATGGGCCCCACAGCGAGTCCTGCCAGTTCTATTCTATTCCAGCCTATTGTTGCTCTATTTTTGAAATGGGTTCAGAGAAGCCACTGTCTATCATGTAACGGTCTGGCTAGGGTTGCACGGCAGCACTTTTGGCAATGAGGGGTAATGTTCTAGATCTCTGCTGCCCAGTCTAGAAGCCATGAGTCTGCTTGTGGCCACTGAGCTGCTCAAACGGAGCTGGTGTAACCGGAGTGGCAAATTCTGAAATTTTACTGATTTCAATGTAATTCAGTTAAAATTAATTTAAATTTAAAAATCAAATAGCCACTTACTAGACAGTGCAACTCTAGACCAATGCGTTCCAGAAACACTTTCTGGAAGGTGTGAACTCACAGCCCTGCCATGCACCATCAAGGGCATGAAATGTCTCTCAAACCCCTTGCTTTCATCTATTCTGTAATGTACCAATATTTACCTTAAAGAAAAATGATCTTCCCCTGCATATTGGAGTAAAACGGGGAAGGTACTTCATACTTATTCTGTGTTCACCCAGTTTGAGGGGCACAGGCTTTAACTGTGGGATCCTACTGCGTCTCTTGTCCCATTCAGCTCATCTTCAAAAAAAAGCATTAGAGTAATTCTCTCAAGCCATGGATCCGATCAGGTCACTAATAATAGTAACAGTAATAATAATAATAAAATATAAATATGATAAATAAAATAATAAATAACATAAGGTGGTATTCCTTAATATATAAGGAAGCACTGTGTGAATTATGGCATGAATACCATATTCCAGACACTATCCTAAGTTCTTTTTTTCTTCATATTATCTTATTTATTCCTGCATATGGGATTAGCCCCATTTTACAGACAAATGTCCTGGGGCCACTTAACCTGTCTTACAGAGGTTGCCAGAATTTGAATCTGAACAGGCAGTGGCAGAACTTACACTCTAAAGGATGGTCTTCCCTCCTTAAAGAGTTCTAATGGTTTCTGCTACTTCTCAGGGCAAATCCGAAGTCTTCACCAGTATAGTTAAGGGTCTTCAGTGGACCTGTCCTGTCCCCAGTGCCTCATTCCCCCCAGTCCTAAACACGCTCTGCACGATTTCGTCTAGCCACGGCATATGCTAGCTTCTCCATGCCCCTCGTGTCTTTTACACTGTTGTGCCTCTTCCCACCAACCCATGTATTTCTCTCCCACAGCATCTGCCACAGGTTTACCCAGGTCTCCCCAGCTACACACCACGTTCCTCGAGGGTGGGAGCCACGTGTCACTCATCTTTGAAACCCTAGCACCTCACACATAGTAAGGATTCCAGCGAAGTAATGCTTGTTGATGTTGGCTTACGTTGTTTCACTTTGCCCACGGTCGTCTCTCTGTCTGGCAAACACCAGGCTGGCTCTGGGATCCTAAACTGTCTGCCCTCTCCTGCGTTCTGCCTCCTGCTCAGGCGTGGAGGTGGTGAGAGTACTTCACGAGGAATGCGCCATTTTGTGTTCCCTCGTAAGAGCGTCTGTTTGTCCCACAGCACTGTGAGCTCCTTGGTGGTAAGATCCACATTTAATGTGTTTTTTTTTTTTTCCCCTCTTAGTGATTCCAGTGGCTACTCCAGCGTCCAGCAGAGAGTAAAACTCAACGAGATACGTCAATCTAAATGCCGGCCAGTGGGCCCAGGCCTTGCCGCATGTCCTTCTCTCTTGTTGCCCACCTTACAAGTTTGTAAGTTCTCCCTCCCACTTTCGACTGAGAAAATGGTGTTGGTGGTCCTGACGAAAACTTTACCAAGTTGGAGAGCACAATGTTCGGTCCACAGCGTGGGATAAGTGTCAAATGAATGAAGGAATGGATGGATGGCTTTTTTTTTCTGGCACAATTAAGTCAATGTAAGGAAGAGAAAAAGAGTATGACTCCAATGGACAAACCTGGATCAAGTGCTCAGCTGAGGATTACGGAAAGTGGAATCCTAAGAAGGTATCAGACTCCAGCCTGGCATCGCCACCCTCCTCGGAGCATGGGTGGGGCTGTGACAAAGAAAGGATGTCCGTACTGTGTTTAGGGAGATCAGGCTAAAGCCTTAAAATGGTGAGATTCTCTTGTTGGCTTCCAGGAACAAAGCAAGCAACCAAGCCGTGAGCTGGTCAGGGAGGGAGTGGCTTCTGGGAGCTGAGGACCTCAGTCCCACAACCACAAGGAACTGAATCCTGCCCACAGCAGGGAGGAACCTGAGCCTCCCCACGGTGAGATCACAGCCTCTGCTGACATTGGGATTAGAGCTTTGAGAGGCTAGGGCAGAGGATCCCATTCAACTGGGCCCAGACACCCAAATCACAGAAACTGTTTCATTAATATCTTTGTGTTGTTTTAAGCTACCAGATTTGCAGTAATCTGTTACCGCAACAGGAAACGGAGACAAGGACATACCCGTGACACTACAAAGATTAATCCTTTTACTAAGTCTAACTCCCCTTGTATTTCACTTGTCTTCCACCAAATCTTTCACAGATGAAGCCCCGCCCACCAGATGCACGTGGCTATGGGCGGGTCTGGGAGGTTGGCTTGTTGAGCTCCTCTCCAACCATAGAGGCTGGAAGCAATGACAGGAACCACCCCGGCCATGAGGTCTGGGTAAACATTTCTGTTCTAAGCTCAGAAAGCCATTTGCTCAGCCTCGGGCTGGCATTGGGAGTTATGCTCTTTCAACGATACCAAATATGCCCTCAAAATAAATTCTGGTAACACTGACAACAGCTTAGTTGTTTTAATTTGGAGCCTTGGCTTAGAGGCACTGACTCAAAGGCTGCAACCAAAGTGGCAAAGAGACCCTCTCGTAAGTGATTGTCCCTCTGACGCCAGCCAGAACCACCTAGGCGAGGGCTGGTGGAAGCGGCAGGAACGTGTGCAAAGCTCACCCAGTTCTGAGCCTGACCTTCCTCTACACACAGCACAGTTACCACAAGCAGAAATTCAGCAAGACGGTGACTCCGCCTCTCCCTTCTCCCTGGGTTCTCTCTGGACGAGAATCCAGTCTGGGCCCCACTTTTCTCTTTTTTCAATATCTACCCACATAAATACCAACTCCAGAATTTTAACTAGGGGAGTTGCCATGGGGATGGAAGCAACACACGCAGAGGGGCAGTGGCTGCTGCACGGGCAAAGGACCCAGACAGAGGCCACCAGTCACTTGTGCTCTGCACTCAGTTTGCTTTCAAGAAGCTGGGTTGGCAGCAGGCCCTGAGGGGAGGGAGATGCACGGGGGCCCTGCTTCAGGGAGACTCTGCCTCCCCCATCATCACCACACCCAGCTGGAAAGAGCCCTCTTCATGTGAACTTTCTCTTGATGTGCCCTATGTAATTCTGGTGGCCCGCGATACACCTTGCTAGCTGATACTCTCATCTCATATTCCATGTGACCCAAAACACACTGAATAAAAAGGGAGTTTAGGAGATGCCAGGGAGTTTTAAAGGTCTGTGGATTACAACAACCACAGCTGTGAACAGAGAGAAATACAGGTAAGAGAGCTGAATAATGCATGAGTTTGGGGGTAAACAACTTGTACAAGGAGCAGTGAATCTTTCCGTCTCGTTGAAAAGGGACAAAACTGTAGATCATGAAATGGTGCACAATGTTGACACGTGTGCAGTTCTAATAACTAAAACCAGAGCCTGGGGTGGTTATTAGGAATTGGAGTAATGAATGGTGAAACCTGCATGTATAGAAGCTGGTTAATCTGAGACGGTGGTTGATGGCGAAGGACGTCCACACCCTGCTAGATCACATGTCCACACGTCCACATGTCTGCTAGATCAATGATCAAAACCCTCCTCTCAGGTATATGAAAGACACGATTATCACCAACTTGCAGGCTGCCTAGCAGAAATTAAAGAAACTGGAGGGATCTGGATCAATCCACTGGTCTAGAGAGTATGGGCCAAGAACTGATTATTGGTTCTCTGTTCTCAGTTTTTAACTTTAAGATGACCTCTTTTTCTTTAAAATGTTTTATTTATTTGTCAGAGAGAGAGAGAGAGAGAGAGAGAGAGCATGATCAGGGGAGAAGGGCAGAGGGAGAGGGAGAAGCAGGCTCCCCGCTGAGCAAGGGGCCCAATGCAGGACTCACGACCCCAGGACCCCCTGGATTGTGACTGAGCAGAAGACAGATGCGTCACCAACTGAGCCGCCCAAGCATCCTGAGGAACTTTCTATCCAGTTTCTTCGACTGAATTCTATGAACTCACAAGTGAGTTCATGAGTACCAATGCCAGATGGAAAACATCAAACCTCGATTGAAAATTTGGTGCCCAGCAGACCAGCCCCTGCTCCTGGGGGCCCACGGGACCAGGCCCTATTCATCTTTGTGCTCCTGAAACTTAGCCCAGAGGATGCCACATGATGATTTACTTGCAAATACTCGTTGAGCTGAACTCAGTGCACTCTCTACCTGTCTGCAGTGTGGAAAAGACCTCAGGTCTCAAACCGCACCATCTTTCTGGAGAGCGTGGGTCACTGCAGCGTCCAGCGAGCCCACCACAGCCCGGAGCTCCAACACACACCAGGAAAAGGGGTACAGAGCGGGTCGAGAACGCTGCCTTTGCTCTCACCCCCCTCACTCATCCCTGCTTCTCACTCAGAGTGAGCAGCCTGGGCAAGAGAAAGTGTCCTCCCTCATCACCCCGTTTCCTGTTTGGAGCGGTCTAAAACCAGTGGCTTGGGCAGTTGTCCTGCAGCCTCCCTCCCAGACTCTCTAGAAGCTTGTGCAGGCCGACCTTCCACCTGGCCTTTGACATAGTGAAAAAGCAGCTTCTAGAGAGGGCCAAGTGTGGGTCCCAACCCTGCAGCCGGGATTCCCCCAGGGGACGGGAGGCTCTATCAGGTGACTCACCGCGCGTCCAGAAACCGGGAGCGCAGGATCATGACGGCCTCACACGTGCTCTGTTTGAGCTGCATCTGGATGGAGCTGAACTTGCGGTGAATGATGCTGACCATCCGCTCGATCTCCTTCGGGGAGATGGGCCTGGTCCGGCTCTGCTCCCGCAGGAGGTTCATCACGTGGGTGGTAAACTCGTTGCACGCCTGGAACGGCAGGACAGTAAACACCGGCGCGTGGGGAGGGTCCGGGCCTGGGCAGAGGGCCACGTGGGCTTTCCTAGAGACTCACACACGTGGAGACACCCCAGCTAGTCTGTGGGGGTTTTGTCACATCGGAGGGACAAAAGAAGTGCCTGGCCTGAAAATGCCTTGCATCCTGTTTGACTCTAACTTTGGCCACAACTGAGATTTTCTAAAAGGGTAAAGAAAAGTCTTAATCGTCTTTTTTTTACATGATTTCACTACAGTGGAAGGGGAGAATGTGAATCCCAGTGTAAAATACACCCCACAACCCTTCACCCCAATGTTAACAGCTGAAGAGAGCTTGGGGTCAGACACGGCATGAACGTCTACCCTGCTCATTATCTCTGATACAGCAGAACCTCCACATGTCCATCTGGGGCTGCGTCATCAGCCAAAAGAATGGAATCAGGAAATTAAGGCTAACCCTTCTGAGAGACATCACATCCACCCACTTCTCCTTTCAGTGTTATCACGAGAATTCCCGCCTCTGTTGACCTCTTGAAGACCCACTATCTCCATAGCACAAACTGGAAATCTGTCCTCAGAGGCCTTGCGCGAATGACATCAACGTGCCGGGGGATTCAGGAGCCATCCCTGCAGAAGGGCGCACTCTCCGTTACACCCACAAGCCATCCGCTCAGGAGGTGAGGTTAAAGATTGCTTTGCCCCTCTCCTATTCTCCAGGTGAATAAACCCAGGTGAGTAAAGCCCAGGGAGAGGGGAGGCTTTTTCCTAAAGCACGCAGCAAAAAGGGAGCAGCTGAGAGAGCCTGGGCCTGAACGCCTCCTAACCCAAGCTGGGGACTTCTGTCCTTTCTCAGGGCCCAAACTTGCTCCTCTGAACACCACTGGCCTTCCTCGTGGTGACGATTACTCAGCGTCTCAAGTCTGCTTGCCTCAGCAGAGCTGTCAGTTGGAAATATCTAGTCACGGGTGAACTGATGGCAACATTATAAAACTGTAGTAGATTTGTAACGAAACAGTCAGGCAGTCTTTGACGAAGAACTAGGGACTCAAAGGGCTCCAACTTAATACCAATCCCAGAAACACTCTTGTTAACGGTAACACCACACCGCCACCCTCCTTACAGCGCAAAGCCTCTCCTGTCTGTCAGAAACGCAGTAACGGCGACACAGTCACTCCTCAGCTCTCCAAGAAATCCTTCCAGGTTGGTGGCCGAAGATACCTAGGCAGACGTATCCACCAGGCTGTGTCTACACTGGGACTGAGAGGCCTGGTCTTTGAGGCCACCTCCGTGAGTGTCTGAGCAAAACCTTTCACTACTCAGGGCCTCATTTTATTCATCTGTGGGAAGGGACTCAATCATTCCTACCCTTGAGCCAGGCCATCAGCCCCTATGGTCTTGTCCAGCAGGATGCAGATGGAGTCCCTCGTGCTCACGAACACAGCAGAGTGGGTGACAGGGGCCAGGATGGCGTGCAGACAGATGCTGCCTCTGGGACTCACTTTGCTGTGAGACCTCGGAAAGTTACTTAACCTCTCTGGGCCTTGTCTCCCTTATTTGTGAAACGGCAGGGTCGGGCGGTACCCACCTCAAAGGGTACGGTGAGGCTCAGAAGAGCCACTAGGTGGGTGTCTGGCTGTGTAAGGATGCATCTGGGTGCCAGTTTCCCTCTCGGTAAAAAGAAACAGGGTCACGATCACCTTCTTTCTACCCCATGGGTACTTATGGAAGATTAATCCATAGATCGGATCCATCTAGCATTCTGCTCTCCGCTAAGAAAATTACTACATAAACTCTGCATCTGTATGATCAGCTTCTTCTCTGCCAACACACCCTCCAACTGTTAACAAAGGGAAGGACGCAAAACGTGGCATCGAGTCAATTCTAAGAGGCCACGGTGTGCGGAGCGCAGGGCTAGGCACACAGCAAGCGCCCCAACCAGCTCTGTGGGCAAACTGGGCCCCTGGTTGGCCTGCAGCCTCCTCATCGAGGGGAGGGGGGGACCTCCAACGGGGGAGGAGCTGGGCATGAAGAGTCATTGTTAGGTGCACTCCTCTCTGCCAGGAAGCCCCAGCGCTGGGCTCGTAATAATGTGCTTCATTACAGGGAGTCAAAATAATCCCAATATCTGATGTTTATCCAAGACATTTTATCCCGGGGCCCTTTCCGCTCTGCCATAAACAGACAGTGGGGTCTTTCCACCCACCGCGGAGGTGGAACAAGGCAGCTGCCGAACAGCTGCTCCGAACACACAGCAGAGAGCAGAGACCAGTTCCAAGTCCACTTCAGATGGCCAGGACATCACGATCCAGGTTTCTCCGGGACCTGACCGACCCACACACCACATCCTCCTCAGATCCCGCAAGCTTGCAGCTTTGGAAGCCGGGCTGCTTCCATTGGGTCAGGTGTTCCTGATATGATAGTGACAGGAAGAGCTGGGGTGACAACGGCTCATTAACGAGAACCCTCACTGGCTGAGAGCTTCTGGGACGGGGTCGGGGATGGGGAGCCTCTGCTGTGGACCGTGACTTTCGGGACCTCACACTCACTCAGGTGCCCCTAGAGAGTTGAGGATTTCGAAGGGAAATCCTCTGAACCTTGCCCAAGTTCCAGGTCAAGGGCGTTTCTGGGAGCCACTGATGAGAGACCAGCCCTCCCAGGTGTCCTGCTCGAGGTGCCAGAGTTTCAAGCTTCCCTCCTGCCCTCTGGTTAGCCCGTCTTCTTCCCTTCCTCCTTCAGACTGTATCTGGTGCCAATCCCAGCAAAGAACATAACTGGGATTCAGGACCCTCTTAGCTGTGAACTGACTAACCAGCCTGAGCTCAGCCCTACCAATTTAGCCCTGGCCACGCCTCAGCAGCGTTACTTACAAATGCTGGAGAACACTGCAAAGCTCCAAGAGTATCGTTTTCTTAAATACGGCTTGGGATAACACTCAGCCTTCTGACATCATGGCTTTGTCTATTACCAGACGCCAGTTCTATACCTTCCCACCTCCGTGATCTGCTGGAGAAGCATTTTCCCAGCACCGTTTACCGAAGAAAATCATTTCCTTCGTTTCTTTCTAATGAAAATCTCTAGGAGCTTTCTTCATTTAATAACCTCAGGACGAAACAATGGCCAATTCGGGTAGGTGGTCTTCTATTTTTTTTTTTTTAAGGGGTGGGGTTGAGGAGGGCCATGGTAGCTAATTAGCAGAGCACTAACTGATGGTCGAGTTACCCCTCACCACCGTTCTAAGAACAAAACAAAACAAAAATCACAGAGTCAACGATTAATAGCCCATTTGGCAACTTCATCCATCCAACCACTAAAGTAGAGAGCAACATTTTTACTTTACTAAGGTTTCCTGATTTCATTTTTTAAAAGCTTTTATTTATGTATTTATTTATTTTAGAGAGAGAGAAAGAGAGAGCTCGAGCAGTGGGGGGAAGGGCAGAGGAAGAGAATCTCAAGCAAACCCCCCTGCTGAGCCCGGAGCCCAGCCCAGGGCTCAGACTCATGCCCTCAGCCCAAATCCACAGTGGGATGCCTCGCAGACTGAGCCACTCAGGTACCCCTGAGGTCTCCTGCTTTTAAAAAAGCTCCCATGAGGAGTAGCCACAGAAAAAAGAAGAAGCCAAATCTCCCAGACGTACTAGCTTGGAGCTTCATGGCGTAATGTTCCTACAATCCACTATTTATTATAATTAACAATATAAGCAGCACTAATAAATTACGAAGTGCCCAAAGTGTGTTAAGTAGGATTCAGTTCTTGCCCCAAAAATGTCCATTTAACTAAGGAAGTGATTTTTTTTTTTTTTTTTGTATTTTTAAGAATAAGAGATATGGACGACTACTCTCTACATACGTAATTTGTTCTGTAGCGATGGGAGTTTTTCCTGAAGTTTCTGATTTCCAAACTCTTTATTATTTAAAACAGGTAGAGAGTGATGAGACGTTTCTGATGGAGAATATTATTACCCCTAGCGTCTCCTAGGTACCAATTATCAATCTCATCCATGGAAGTCACAGAGGATAATCTGGCTCCTTCACTTTTCAAGCAAGTCACACTCTCTCTGTATGGAGCGCTACTCGTCAGGTGGGGTTCCAATGGGAACCCTCAGACCAAGGGTCAGAAACTGGATTCCAGGGCCATCCCTGTCCCTCACTGGATGTGTGACCCACATACACAATGTAAGCCCTCTGATCTCCACCTCCTCGCCTTTGTCAAAATGGAGAGGCTGACCGTGCCTGTCCTGGGTACCCAACCACAACATTACCTTGAGCAACAAGGGCAAGTGTGTCAGCAAAAGTTAGCAGTCAGTTGTGCGTTGCTGGGAACCTGAGCTAAGAATAGAGCTGCCTGGCTAACATCCAACCCCGTCATGGGTTTAGAAGCAGGATGGCCTTGCTCTGGGCTCTCCTTGTACCTCTGGAGTGTGTGGGACTATCTAGACCTGCCATCCAGGTCTGGGTAGATTGTTTTGTCAGAAAACCAGGCTTAGTCTTAAAGGTAAGGTAGGAACGGCACTGAGTATGGAGAACTCAAGAGGACAGCTAGGGACCTTTATGGGAAATGTCTCTCTGTCTTCCCAAGCTATCCTATAGGTTAGGGCCAACTTTGAACTCTAACGTGATGGATCAGGTTAGGGAACCTTCAGGAAGCAGTCAGCTCTCTGGGCTCAGAATTCCCTGAGATCTCAGGAAGTGTCTACATGAGCCAACACTGTGGCAAGAACATTTGTTCTTTCCTGAGAAGGCGAAGGGCAATGACTCACAGGTTCTTACCGTAAGATCGCTGCTATTCTCTTCCCCTCAAACCCTCCCTATACCTATCCGATGGTTGGGTTTCACCATGCTTGGCTGCAAGCTTCACGGCAATTCCCCCCCACATCATAAAAGAAGGGACTTGGTAGAAATTCATTTTGAAGGTAGATAGGAGTGCAATAATGAAACTTTCTTCACTTTAAATTTTAAAATGCCCATTTCTGTTTTAAAATTTAAATTTTCTATTAAGTTTGCATTTGCCTTCTACCTAGACAGTAGCCTTTGTTTTTTTCTCCCTCTTCTTTTGTGACTCTTAGAAAAGAAGGGGAAACCAGAAAGCGAAGAATTCAAGGAAAGTGAGTTAACTGTTGAATTTCAGGATAATGTTACATCCAACAAAGTGACAATAAATGTATCCGTCACCTACTGATGGAAGAAAGGACTCCTATTAAAGTAGTATCGCTAGTACGGACCCGAGGAAGCAGAAATGATACATAGAGTTCCTTGTGCGTGCGTGCGTGCGTGTGCGTGTGTGTGTGTGTGTGTAGGGGGAGGGTCTCTTGGCGAGAGCAGCTCTATTATAATTAAGAGCACCTTACATTTATATACTGCCTTGTCATTAAAGCCTCCCTATGCTCGCCTTCATATAGTTTTCATGGTCCTGTGATACCCTTGGCTCCGAATTTATAGCTCTTGGCCATTCACCATCAGCTTTTGGGTAGACTATGTGAGCCATGGTGTCCCACAGGCCATCAGTGGTGTGTGAGGACTGGAATTCAACTTTGTTGACTACAGGGGTGCCCTGAGCCCTTCTCTACTCTTCTTATGGAAGGAGGTGAATACTGCATTCCATATCATATACCAAACGAACATGTCTGACTCTCACTCGAGTGGAGTCTGGGCAGAGCAAGGGACTTTAAGGCTAAGTTTTTGTGTCCTTTCCCATAGGATTCCAGGAGTATGAGGAATCCTCCCCAGATAAGGAGCAAAAGAAGGTTGGAGGAGTCCACTGACCTCCCCGCAGGTCCGGGGGTAACTCTGCTAATAACCTTTCTCATCCTGTGAGACCTGGGCTGCAGGCCACGGGCGAATGTTCCAGAGCCCCAGCATCAGCATTTCTTATACTGACTCTTAATGCTTCCTGAGATCATCGCGGACAACCTAAGGTTTTCAAACGCTCTTATGGCCAGGGTGCCTAGGGAAGACTGAGGACTCGGTGGCCTCCCATGTGGCCAGGGGCTTGTGGACAAGGGCTTGGTGCAGAAACACAGAGGCCGGTCCTGGGAGCTATGCAAGCCCCCAAGGCCCATGGCTCTTCGGCCTCCTTCCTAAAGGGCCGGGGTGCCCGACACCCCATGGCCGCGGTTACCTGCTCGTACTTCTCCAGCTCCGTGTGGTAGATCTGTCTGATCTGGGACAGCTTGGCTCTGTAGTCGGAGTGCTCCACTGAGTTGTCCGAGCCCGCGCCCCCCGAAGCCGCTGCCGCCGCCGCCGCCGCCGCCGAGCCACCGCCCTTCTCGGGGCCTGCCACCCCCTCCGCCAGCAGCATGTTGTCCAGTCGCATCAGCTGGGGGTCTGTCGGCTCCTCCTCCTGGGCTCCCCGGATACTCAAGACTGCAGGGGGACACAGAGGAGGGGAGGGTTAATGGTAACCCACATGAGCACGTGAAGCAAACAAAAAGCAATGTCGTGTCACTGGCGCAGCGAATAACCAAAGGGCTTGCCACGTGGGAGGTGTACAAGGGGCGAAGGGCCAGGCCAGGGGGACCGGGAGGGGGAGAGAAGCCTCTCTTTAGAGGCTGGCTTGGTTCCAGAAGTGCACGATGCTTCACTTAGGACAGCTACCCAGAACGGCCCATTCCTGGAGGCAGACAGGGGAGGGGAGTGGGGGCTGGGAGTCAGTGTTTCACGGGGACAGTTTCCTGTAGGCAAGAGGGGTGGTGAGTACATTTAATGTCATTGAACTATACCCTAGACATGAAAATCAGGTTAAATGATAACTTGTATTATGTACATATTACCACAAGAAATTTCAAAGGTGCAAAAAATTAATACAGCAGAAAAGAATTTTCACATTCATCCCCAAACTGCCAAATTTTTAATTCAAGGCAAGACATTTCCTTCTTTGTTTCTAATTTTAGATTTCTGTGAGTTTGTGGTTTTATACTCGTTGACTTTGTACTACTTGATTGGCCCAAGTTTTCAATTCCAAAATGACCTACAACACGTGAACCCAGTTGTTTGGACCGGAATCTTGAGACCTTTCTCCTAGACCAGCACGGAGAGTAGAGAAGTTTAAAACAGCAAGAAGATCTATTATATGTCAGTTATTCTTCAAGAAAAAATAAAACAAAATAAGCAAATAAAAGAGCAGGAAGACAGACTGGCCATCAAGTGGGGATGTTTTCCTCTGGACACTGAGATCTCTTCATTCCGGGTGACGACTATCCTATTGGAAATGGGGGGTGAGGGGGCACTGGACAAGCTATTTCAGGTATTGAGAGAAATCATGTAGGATGGAGACTTCAATCAACGATATGGCTGCTTTTTATTAAAACCCCATGGCCATCTGGGTCGGGGGAGGGGGGCCGGGATGGAAAGAGATCAAGTGTTTTAGTAAAATCAGCAGAAGAGCTAGGCACTCTCTTTTTACTACCGTCATACAACCTGCTATAAAATAAATCACTCATCTAAACCCAGTTTAGCTGTCAGCAGCCAAGTCTTTGTTGAGAGGGAACACGAGAAGAATTTCCAATTAAAAAAAAAAATTGAAAAAAATTTGGGGTAAGGTAGGAGAAAGGAGGGAAGTGATTCCAGGCAGGGGAGAAGGAGCCATGGACAGGGACGGGGATGTCAGGGATCACCTGAACAACCGGAGAATCAAGAGCTGTTTCCAGGTGGGGTGCATCTGGGGAGCCCCAGGAGGTGCTGCCCATTCTAGCTGTCTCCTGAGCCCTCGCAGGACAGCCCCACGTGGGCGTGACTATGAGCTTGAGACGAGGGACGCCGAGATGTTCGGGGCATCCCATCACGTACAATGCCAGCAGAACCACATGCTCCTGGCTTCCATCAGGCAAGACAAGAACCAACCTTGAGTGTTGTTCAGAAGGAAATCCCAATTCCTGTGCTGTGGGGGACCCTGCAAATGGCTTTCATGAAACAGCAGACAGTCAAGAGGCCGGGAGCCATATGGCCCAGGAGTGGCGGCGAGGGGCAGAGATGAAAGGCACCAGGAGAAAAGCAGTGAAGTGAGGATGGGGAGGGATGCAGGGAGGGTGGGGGGAAGGTGGCCGGCCGGGGAGGAAAGAAGGAAGCCCACACCTGTACACAAACACGGAATGCCTCTGGATTCAGACTCCTCTCCTCTCACACCCTCTCCTCTCACACCTGAGTCCTGAATTTTCTGCCCGCCTGGAATAAAATCGTGTATCGGTGATAGTGTTGTGGAGGTTTGTGTTGGGGATGTCCTTCCAGCGAAATCCTTTCAGGAGATGAACTGAGACGTTGCCCCTTGGACAGGGTTTGGGTAACATTTAGTCATGTTATTCTGTGCCTTGAATTCATTTACCCAAACCTCCAAAGTCCTCTGAAGAACCTATCACCACTCACAGAGGTTCCCTTAAGAAAATAATTCAATGCTCTACCCATTTCCTGAATCAGAGAACTTTCCAGTCCCTAAAGGGGCAGAAAATAATGGGACCACCCGAGCACCTGGCAGTGGAGCCCAGAAGCTCCTCCTTCCTCACCTCTATGGGTGACAACCGACATTTGTGTGTGGGGTCTTCTGGGTGTTTCTCCACTGAATTTTATTTAGTGAATTTTAATTGCTTTATCAACAAAAACATTTAGGGGTCATTTCAAAGATTCACCTCTGGGCTATTCTTCATAAACAAATGTAATTATTCCACTTTAGCTTGGTCATTAAATAAACTGTGCAAAATTCTACTCTCTAATCTGCTCTACCGAATCTCGTGTTTCATATCCTCCACAAGGTGCTGAACACTCTAGGGAAGCAGACCCCCAAAGCTGACAGTTAACTGCCACACCCCCCCCATGCTGAGCCAGTGGAAATGCCTCCAAGCACGTCCTCCTGGTCCTTCCATAACCAAGCCTTTGTGCACATGAAACATCTTATAATAATTTCTGGTCCCAACGAAGGTAGCAAAGAGAGAAAGAGAGCAGTCATTCCCCCAGGGCCAGCCTACGATCCATTCATTCTGAGAGAAGTAGGAGAAGCAGAGATAGGCACCCACAGACCACAGTGCTGGCCCAGTTCCCTCCAGGCGCTGTGCTGGTAACCATGGGCATTTCCTTCCGAGAATACGTTCCCCCTTGCAGACCAACAGAGCTTCACCTACCCCTCCCCTCCACCTTTTCTTTCCAACCATCAGTGGGATGCACAGACCACCCACGCCAACTCTGCACACCTATCTCATTAACATTTTGCGGGGCTTGAAATCTAACGGGTTTCGAATAAAATAAGAAAAGAAAATTGCTAAGACTAGCAAAGAATGCCAAAAGTTATGCTGCGGGTCCCTCACCCCCCAGGAAAGTTTAGGACAGTCAGAGAGCACAAAACATTCCCTACACGGACTGCTTTCCCCCCACCCACATGTTAAAGGGCACATTTAGTTATGAAGAAAAAAATAGTGCAAGTGTTAGCACTCCACTTAGCTTTTATATCATTTTTAAATCCTGTAAACAAATACTCTTTAAAAAAGAAATTTGGATTTAATTAGATTTAATAAAATTGGTTTCCAAATGTGGCCAGTAAGAAACTGGTATGATAGAGTACGACACACCTTAACATATAAAACGCTTGCATTTATACTCGGAGTTCAGGGCATAGAAATAGGTCCCAAACTAGAGATCTGATGAAAAGAGAAGAATGTAAAGGCGGGGGTGGGGGGGGTGGGGGGGTGGGCGGGAAGAAGTCCTCTTCAAATTACAGTCTTTAAATTATACTGAAATCAGGGGCACCTGGGTGGCTCAGTGGGTTAAAGCCTCTGCCTTCAGCTCAGGTCATGATCTCAGGGTCCTGGGATGGAGCCCCGCATCGGGCTCTCTGCTCAGCAGGAAGCCTGCTTCCCTTCCTCTCTCTGCCTGCCTCTCTGCCTGCTTGTGATCTCTGTCTGTCACTATTTGAAATAAAAATCTTTAAATCATACTGAAATCATTGTAAAAAGAAAAAAATTCAGAGCATGTGTCAGAATCCCCTGCTATATATAATAAACACACATATATATCATGTGTACATACATAGTGTGTATATGTGTATATGTAACATGTACATATAGTGTGTACACATATAGTATGTATATATATCATATATATGTGTGTATATGTGTGCATATACACACATATATAACATATGTAAACACACATGTGTAATGTGTATATATAATATGTACATATATGACATTTATATATACAGGATATATGTGTATATATATGTAGCGCGTGTATATATACAGGAACAATACAAATAGTATAAAAGAGAACATTTTCATCTTCTACGTCACATAGAAGATTCTGGTTCCGAGGGTCTTGGGCTGTGTCTGTGCACTTGCAGGAGGCATGGGTGGACCCATATACTGCCTGTACTTTATTTCTACCCAGAAGGAGAATCCGCATGAACCATTATAAAAAAAAGGGTGTTGGGAATCATGGATACGGAAACTGTTCGGCGAGTCGGCTACAAAAAAAAAAAAAAAAAGCCCTCCAACATTAAATAAATAAATGAAAAGGGCGATATGTCTAAGTAGAACTGATGCTACCTATTTACTGCTTGAAGACAGCACCCTGGTGTGTCCGAGACAAAATGATTACTTAAAAGCCCCTTTTTATCTCTGTGGCACCATGCAAGACTCAAATGAACCTTTCGCCAGGACACCAGAGATGTTAACACTCATCCTCCAAGATCCAATTTCCACCAGCGGAGCTGTTACCTAATCCAGCAACCATCACATATGATCAGGTTTCTGCCTCCCTGACGGGCGCCCCGCGCGCTCCCCTCCCCACCCCCGCCCCCGCCCTGGGCTCCCCAGTCCAGCAGCTTTCACTGAATCAGGTTTTAAAGGGCCAAGTCCCCTGTTTATGCCCGTGTGCACCAGGTTTAACAGTCAGGAGTCAGGGCTGGACACGTCCACTACCAGAAAATGTCATCAGCCGCAGTGGGCTTGCTATCCAGAGGGCTTGCCCAACGAGGTCCTTAACCCTTTGGTGATGACTGTCAAAGGAGGAGTCAGTCTCCTTCTCAGCCATCTACCCCCTCGTGCATGAAGCCCGTCAAGGCAGGTGAGTGATTTATGTAGAAACTGTCACAGCCCTTTGAAAAGCATCTGATGTCGCATATACCTTGCTGCCGTGGCTGGCTGGGGGCGGGGAGAGGGGGTTAATTCAAGGAGACTGTCACAGCCCTGTCGGAGCTGCTCTCACAACTGGTCTCCTGCTGTTTCTTCTTCCTTTATTTTTCTTCAGAGAAGGAGAAAAACAAACCAAACCCAAAGGCATATTCAAGATCATTGGCAGGAGGGCTGTGGGCTGGTTTTTTGTCCTTGCCTGAACAGCGCGGATCCCGGGCAGCTCCAGCCGAGGCCCGCTAGAGGGCACTC